AAGATTTCGACGTTCCGATTGATCTCGGAATGATTCACCAGTTCTGGAGAACGCTCGAGATATTAGAGCCAGGTAATTTAAGATTAATGTTTTATTTATAATTTTCTATTAAAATACATTATTTGTTTTAATTCATTGACTTTTTTATCGTATACTTGTAGGGACTGGTCATCCGAGCCAGGCGAGCAACGCTGCATGGTCAGATGCGGCGTTCTTTCAGACGCTTGTGACTGAGGTTGAAACCCGCGATCCCGCGACGATGCGGTACGTGAATCAGTTCATGTACAGTCATCTTTACCCAGACCAACAGGATTATGCGGAACCTGAGGTTAAGGATAACCCGCGAGGTCGTCCCAAGAAAACTAATTCAACTAAGCGTAAACCATCTGCTTTTGAGTACAACGAAAAATCGCGAGGTCGGAAATCGAGCCGTACGACCAATTCTTCGCGTGGAAAGACAAGTTCGTCTTCTCAACAGTCACAAGGGGATGAAGGTCATATTTTTTTTTTTAAATACGGCTGAGCGTTAATTAAAGTATTTATATGATTATATAAATTGTGACGTGAAATTATTATGATATTTATTGCAGAGTTTAGACCGACAAATATATTTGGATTTTCATTGTGGCAATGTATCCCCTGGCATATGTTGGACTACATAGTGAGTTACCTGAATGTGGAAGCGGATGGTAACTGCGGATTTCGGGTCATCGCGAGTCACATGTATGGTCATCAGAAGTACTGGCCAGATGCAAGAGAAAACATTGCGAAGGAGGTCGACAACCACCCTGAATTGTACGAGTACATCTATTTTAGAGATATCGAGGCCGGACTCCGTCGCGTAAGGTGGGCCAGAGGCCCTTGTGGACCGACTCACTGGTTCGAAGTTCCGCAGGACCTCTATGCCGTTGCGACCCTATTTAATGTGGTTGTCGTTCATTTGAGCTCTGGTCCACAAGGTGGGCAGCACGACTTATTCAGCACCACAGTGTTGCCTCTCACTGCACGATCATCGGCTAGAGGACCATGTCGTGAGATTGCCATTTGCCATCTTGGTACCGTAGAACACTACATTCGTTTAGATTTGACTGATGATTGTCCATTACCGCCTATTCATAACATGTGGTTCCGTTACCGAGATCAATCGGTTGTGGGTTGGGAGCATCAGTACCAGTCTAGGTTGCAATTGTGGTATACTGTTCAAACAAATCGTTCTTGAATAAAAGAACGATATTATTCAGTTATGGTATGACGCTTCTCATTCAACTTAAGTTTAGCAAATAAAAATAAATAAATGAATCAGTTCAACTTAAGTTTAAAAAAAAAAAAAAAAAATCATTCAACTTAATGTTTTACAATAATAATTAAAAAAAAAAACATTCATTACATCATTATTGGACATTGTCGTAATCCAACTTAAACTTAGCGAGCTGTTCTTCGACTTCCGCCGCCTCCGGACAGTGTGGAACAATCTGCTGCAAGGTCGATGTAATGACCAAAAGACGGTCCACCCACTAAAAAAATGAAAGAATAAAAAGATAAGACTAAAATTTATTAAAAAAAAAATTATTGTAATGAAGTAACATTAATTAAAATTTAGTAACCAACTTACATATGCGGTATTGACACGCGTTGGGACCTCGTTCTCGTCCGGCAGCTCCTCGCCCATGAGAGTCGGATGGGAAACCCGACTGTACCACTGCTGGTAATCCTCAGTCGCCTCCCCGCGATCCTGTGTGGTGTGGGTCAACATACTTGTGTTGACCGTCCCAGACATCGGGAACTGGGTCCAGGCACCTACTACACCAGCCTCAGAATGCTCAACCTTGTAGTTCCTAGACTCCCAAGCACGTACTGCACTGATTGGCGGGAATATAGGGGGTGGGACAGTCTGGACATACCCTAGCTGACGCAGACACCGCGCAGGCAAGTACGGCTCGACGACATTGCGGTATCGAATCCATCCGCTATAAAGAGTCCTCGGCTCTATCGCATCTGGGCTGGAGCTGCCGTATGGCAACCATTGCACCTGTTCACAATTGCATAAGAGAATTTATAAAAATAATTATGTTATTTTAAATAACGGGTAACTAAATTTAAATAAAATAAATTCACGTACATCGGAGGCAGTGAGTCTGTCGAGGCGCCGACGGATGGCTGTGAGCCGATCGTCTGACCGTGGCGCATTCCCTACGCCCCACGAGCGTGATCGTGCGAGACAGTCAGGACCGATGGGTAGACACCCTCGGGGTCGGAAATCGGGGAAATACTCATATATCTAAGACTGTAGAAGAGTCAAGCAGCCCGACATCTGGGCAGAGTCCCCTCGGCTGGCAATACCTAGCTGTCTGTACATGTATGCCAGCGTAGCCGATCCCCATGAGTAACCCCCAATCAAATCCAAGCCGTCGAGCACCTCGTGCAGGAGCTTGGGGGTCACTCTACTACCACTCTTGTCGACGAACAATGTGGTAGCCAGCATCACCCACAGCCAGGCACCCGCCTCATCCCTAGCCGGCCGGTCTTTCCCCCTGAATGCCCCCGAAATGGCGGCTTCGGACACCGAACCACGCTGCCAGAACGAACTCATGAGTTCGCCCTTGGTGACCGAAAGTATCGACATGCAGAGCCCATGGCAGGCGTCCGAATTCGGGTCCTCAGCGACCACGACTCCCTCCACTGGAACGCCCAAAATGGCCCGGACGTCGTGCAGCATGATGCTCGTCTCACCAAAAGGCATGTGAAACGAGTTAGTATCCGGCTGCCATTGCTCCACAAAAACAGAAAGGAGTGGGGTGTCCAACTGGGTGTGCATGGAGTCGACCAAATGTGACAGCCCGGTCTGGTCGAGAAGAGCTCCCGCATCGGAAGACATCTCTTCACGCCAAGCCTTCAGATTATCGATCGCTCGCACTCTGTTGTGGCATTTCAGTAGCCCCCTCAAATTCCCACTCCACATGCGGGAGGCGACGTGCCCAAGAAAGCTAGGGATG